CTCACTGGGGGCCAGCGCTGTGGGAGTGAGGATGATGAGGGGCCTGGGCTGCTCAGGGACACGAGTCCCGGGTGTGCCATGTGACCACCTCGGGAGAGGGCTCTGGCTCGTTGTGACCTGGAGGAGTAACCCACCGCCTTCTGCAGCTCTTTCAGACCCGGTTGCAAAGGAGAGCTGCATGCTCAACCTGCTGCTGTCCCTGCCAGAGGCCAACCTGCTCACCTTCCTTTTCCTTCTGGACCATCTGAAAAGGTAGCCCAGCTCTCCCGTGGCTGCCCAGGACTCCAGGGTGCCCCACTGCTCCCGTCAGACCCCCAGTACCGAGGACCTTTCCTCCCGACCCCTGCCTGCAGTCCCTCACTGCCTCTGGGGACTAGTGCCTCTGCCGCCCCCGCCCAGCCTCTCCTCTTTGCCACTCTTCTCCCTCTGCACTGTGGCCTTAACAAAGAGCTCAGAGCTTTCGCCATGGCCACCAGTGCACTTGAGCTCCCCAGTTCCCTCCCACCCAGATCATAGAGGAGACCTCCCCACCAGCCCAGAGCTGGCCCCTCGTCCTGGGCCACCTAGACCCAGAAGCACCAGGGCTGGAGTCAGCTTGCAGCACAGCCAGGGTCGAGGTCGCTCCCTCCCTGAGGACTCCAGCACGGCCCAGCCCTTCCGTCTCTCTCCTGTTGGTGGCGTTGAAACAGCCCCCTCTGCTTTGGTCCTCGACAGGGTGGCAGAGAAGGAGGCAGTCAATAAGATGTCCCTGCACAACCTCGCCACGGTCTTTGGCCCCACGCTGCTCCGGCCCTCGGAGAAGGAGAGCAAGCTCCCTGCCAACCCCAGCCAGCCCATCACCATGACCGACAGCTGGTCCTTGGAGGTCATGTCCCAGGTATGGGAAGACAGGCTCCAGCCCATGCCACCCGACCTGACAGAGGTGGCCTCTGCCTGCGCCGCCCCGAGTCCTGCCCATCCTCCTACTTGCCTTGTATGTGGAGGTGGCCAAGATTCAGAGAGAAACTTGCCTAGGTCTGCACGAATGGGAGTGTTATCGGGGGGTCCAGGCCACCTCCTGGCCCTGCTGGTGCACCCTGCTGGGGGCTTACCGCCACCCCGAGTGTTCAGGCGTGGTGGCTCACACCTGTAATCCCAGCACTTTGAGAGGTCACAGCAGAATAACAGAACCCAGGTGTTTGAAAGCATTCTAGGCAATATAGCAAACTCCATTTCTAGAAAAAATAGAAAAATTAGCCAGGCATTGTGACATACACCTGTAGTCCAGGCTACCAGGGAGGCTGACATAGGAGGATCACTTGAGCCCAGGGGTTAGAGGCTGCAGTGATCCATGGTGGAGCCACTGTCCTCCAGCCTGGGTGACAGAGCAAGGCCCTGTGCGGCTCTGAAATAAAACCATCCCCCTCAGTCATGCCTTGTGAGGACCCCACCCAACCCCTGTCTCACTGTAAGGGGTTCACGGCACCAGCAGGGGCCTCAGCTCCTGGGCTGGTCTTGGGGGCTTGGGCCCCAAAG